TGTATGTCACGTTTCTGCGTGGTACCTTAGTGGTGACCGAGTTCTTCGCCATCCTTTATGTGAATAAGTGCGACATTGACATGTTGACAGTTTGCGGCACTAGCACTGATGGCGCCAGTGTGATGATTGGTGGTCAGACCGGCCTGATGGCACGCTTATGCACGCGGGTACCGCACCTCGTCCCCTACCACTGTGTCACCCACAGGTACCTCTCGTGGCTCAAGGTTTAGCTGTTGTTGCTCAATTGTCTGAAAAAGGCCGCCGAACTTACCACGTGTGTGTTGTTTTTACAGGGAGGCTCTTGCGGCGAAGGACGCAGCCCTTGCCTTCTCCGGCTTCAACATCGTCGACAAGGTGGTGCGAACCTTCGCCGACATCTTGGGCTGCTCTCACATACAGCACGGGCACTTCATGAAGCTGCAAGAGGTAATAACAAGCATGGAATTCGGAACATCCGCTGCTTTCGCGTGGGGACGCGATTGAGCGGTTTGCAGACGTTGTACCCGCCAGCATTGTCGCTGTACGACAACGACACGAAGTGCTACACCCTTATCATGAGCTTTAAGTTTCAGCCCTTCTTGTACTTCTTGGTTGACCTGCTAAAGGAGCTGAACTGCCTCAACCTCAAGTATCAAAGACTGCAAGTATGCACTTATTAACCGATTCGTACTACTTGTCTGTTCTAGATGCTAGACTCTCTTCTTTCCTTTTCATCTATCTCTATTCTAATGGTGTTTGTGCTTCCACTGTATCCCTGCAAGTCGATGTGACGCAGGTGATGCCGATGGTTGACCACACAACCCTGGCATTGAGAAGCCTCTATGTGGAGTACGGCTCCACCTTCGCTGACAACACTCCTTGCCTCGCCACCTTCCTGCACGCACACCAGAAGCCGCACGCTCGCTCGGTGACCGTCAAGGGTGTTGCCAGCGATGGCACACCAACGACGCACACATCCGAGCTCCATGAGAAGCTTATTGAGGGGCAGAACAGTGAAGGAGACTTACAGTCGTGCATCAAGATGGCATCCAAGTTTGGTGCACACATCGTCACATCCTTGTGCAAGGACCTCATGTCAAGGGTGGTGGGGACCTGAGGTGATCGCCTCAAGGACCTCACATCATGCTCGAGGAGTTGTCTCTTCCGCCAGAAACGATACCCACCTTCGTGTGCAAAGAGGGAGCGCAGTTTTCCCATATGGCTGCAGTCGATGTGAGACCTGATAATGAAACAATCCCACCACCCTGATACCTTTCCCGGTATTTTGCTCAGGAATTGTCAAGCCGTAACCATTTCAATCAGTTGCTCTCTATCTGGATTGGCAAATACTTCTCAAGAGCATGGTCTCAAGGAGCGCAATCAAGCGCTCCTTCTCAAGATCCTTCGCCTTCGGGTTGTCGTTGATGCGGCGGTTTGCCTTGAGCGTTGCCGCGGCTGTCTTCTGACTGCGCAGAGCTCGGTGGTGCTTCCTTGTGCGCTGGTGCTTCCGCATAGCCCGGATCTGCACATCGGTCGCCCCTTCTCCTTTCGCGCTGAAGTTTGTGCCCACACCACCGTGCTCAATGCAGACCGTGCATTTCATTGACGGGAAACCTGCTTTTGTCTGACACAAAACAAGCCACAGGTAGTCGTCAGACCATTGTTTCTTGTACATAAGTAACTCTTCCTGGTATTTCTCCTCGGCAATGTTGGGCACTTCTGTTTCATAAGTAACATCAACCGCTTTCGTTTTGAGTTTACGCTGTTGAGCCTTCATGGATGAGTTCCCCATACCAGACGTGGGCGTCGCTTGACTGGCACCCCACTGGATCTTCGTATGGTGGTACTTCACCTTGATACCGCTTTTGAGACGTGGGCCGACGCGATTAAATTTGGCAGCGACAGGAGGACGATTCCGTGTAAGTTCGGAAGCGAACGGCGGATCGATGGGTGTCGGCGCGGTAGCGGCGACATGCTCGAACACTAGCCCTGCGTCCATATCGTAGGTGCCTCGGGGCCCGAGGAAGGGAGAACAACTGTCGGAATTGTAGGTGATACTAACGAGGGAGCAGCCGAAGGTCGTCGTAAGAAATCAAGGCCAGTAACGACCAGCTTGCTAGCAGCGTTGGATTCAGGGCCATCACCTGCGTGCGATGGGTCCGCCATGGCCGCTCAGCTCTGCCGAGCGTGCCGAGCTTGAGAGGGATGGTACGGCTGCGTGCCAAGAACGCTTGAGCTCGTACGTCACTTCCCGCCATGAAGAGGCATCTTGGTCCACCTCCACCATCTTTCCTGACAAGATGACAAGAGCCCCACCCCACTGCGAAGATAACTAGTACAACGGGAGCTAGACTACGGGCTAGGCACGAAGCTTGTGTGATCTCTGCATTCGTTCCTTAGTCGTTCTCTAGCACTTGTGCATTCACAGGGCAAAACCGCAAGAGTTTCACTAGCAAAAGTTGAGAATAATGATACAATGAAGTTGGCAAGACAGGACTACATCAGAGCTAGCATGCAAGCAGGTCGACTGCCAGCGCAGCGCGGTCGACTGCGTTCTAGCACGACTTGGTTGACCGCGCTCCCAGCAGCGCAGAGTCGCGTCTTGCCAACGTTGTAGGTCGACGTCAAGCCAACATCGCAAGTCGACGGCGTGCCAATGTCGCACCCGCAGGACAGCAGCGCACCCGCTTCGCAGGTGCTCGTAGATGATTGGTGTGTCGTGCCTCGTCACCTGCACAGCGCACACACCAAATTGTCCTTGTGCTGACGGCTGCTGTTGATCAGCCACGTGGACCTCAGGATACCACCACCGAGGTCGGTCTCGCCAATTCCACCTAGGCGACCGTCGCACTCCTCCGTAGAACCTTGTCACCCAGGAATCCTGGTCGACCGGGCAACGACGTCGACCAGCTGCTCCTTCACGTGCCCATCGACCACCCAAGTCGACGACCACCTCCAGTCGACCTCACCAGGTCGACCACACCCTTGGTCGACCAGCTCCAGGTCGACGACACTTCTGGTCGACCAACTCGAGGTCGACCAGCACACCTGTCAGCCGACCGCACCCATTCGGCTTCCCCGAGTCGGCGTCATCAAGTCGACGCCTCCGATGTCGACCTCGCCAGGTCGACCACCCAAAGTTGGCGCCCTCCCAAAGTCGGCGCCCTTGCAGTGGCCCCCGTGTAGGTCGACCAGACCCGTCGACTAGCCCGTCCACTGCTACAGGTTGGCTGCACTCCTCACACCTGACCACAAAGTCAGCTCCGCCCAGGCGAGGACGGGGCCTTCCACAACTCCCATTGATACTCCCCTGCCGCGTTCACACTTGGGCCCCAGCCCACACGGTAGCACTACTCGGAGAATAGCTTGTCGGCGTGCACCCAACACACAGCACGCGGGTCACCGCACCAGCCATGCAAGAGGGCATGGCACCTACTGCTGCACGTCGTCGTCGCCGTCGCCCACGTCGGCAAGTCGCACTTGGCCGATTGCGACGAAGCACCGGTTCAAGGCCGGATAGTGCAGCGCCTTCGTCAGGAAGTCGGTTGGCTGCTCAGCGGTGGGGTTGTACTTCAGCGAAAACTTCCCGCGCTTCACCATGTGCTGCAGCTACGCCTGTCGCCGCTCCATGTGTTTGAGGATGCCCGTCAACCCCATGCCCTCGGCGACCGTGATGGCCGACTTGTTGTCCACCTAAGGACGATCGGATTCCCGGCATCCAGCTGCCGGAACTCTGCAAGGAGGAAGCAAAGGTGGCGTCCCTCCTTGCTGGCTTCGGTGGCCGCCACGTACCCCTACTCGGTCAAGGACAGCGTTGCGCACTTGATGCGCTGGCTTGACCAGGAGACCGTGGCCCCTCCGTAGACGAACACGTAACCTCCCGTGCTCGTCCGCTTCTGCTTGTCGCCGGCGTCGCCGGCGTCCACGTTGTCGGCCAGCTCCAGCGACTCTGGTCCACCGCCGAACTCCAGGGCCGTGTCACGTGTGTTGGCGAGGTAGGCGAGGCAGCGGTCGACCTCGCGCCAATGCTGGTCGCTCCCCACCATGAGGTCGCTCCCCAACTTGCTGCAGGCGAAGGCGATGTCCGGCCTCGTCGTCGTCGTCGCGAACTGCAGCGAGCTGACCTCGTGCCGGTACTCCTCCTCCTCGCGCTCCTGTGCCTCCTCGTCGTCGAATGTTAGCTCAGAGTAGGCGTCGACCGAGACCGGCGCCTTCGGGGTGCGCCAGGTCTGCTTCTCGTTAAGGAACCGCCTACGCAGCTTGTCGATGTAGCCCTGCTGATGCAGCCATAGCTTCCCCGCCAACCTGTCGTGCACGATCTCCAGCCCGAGGTACTTCTGCACCGGCGAGATCTCGCGCAACTCGAAGGCGGCCTCCACCAGTTCCTTCAGCTCCTTCAGCATCTCGGTGCTGCTGCTGGCGGCGAGCAGGTCGTCGACGTAGACCAGCAGCCAGCAGCACGCCGTCGAGAGCCCTGTACCACAGCAGCGGCGAGTGCTTTAGCCCGTAGAGGCTCTTCAGCAGTTTGCACACCCGGCCGGTTCCGTCGTTGAAGTAGTCCGGCTGGTACATGTCAGAATTATATATAACTGCATGTAGTTCTAGCTGTAGTGTAGTCATACATTTGTTCTTGCTTGGTGGTGCACCCTTCCTGAACTATAACTTGTACTTGTTTCTCATATTGCATCATTCCTATTCTCAACTTCTCCTTGCCACAACCCTCTCGACTCCCCTTGGCCTAGGCTACTAAGCCTAGGCCCTACCTAAACCTAGCTCCTACTACCCTCACTATCTTGACAGTACATGTACAGCATCCGGTCGAGCTTGTTCTGCAAGAAGGCGTTCTTCATGTCGAGCTGCAACAAGTTGAGGTTCAGGACGGCGACGATGCTGAGGAAGATCCTCAGCGTGACGTAGGTGTTCACCAGCGCGTACGTCTCGTCGCAGTCAGCGCCACACACCTGCATGAAGCCCTTTACGAATAGCCTTGCCTTTTCGCGCTCGACGGTGTTATCGATGTGCTACTTCGTCGTCAACACCCACCGGTTCTTCATGACGTTTACCCCCGGCGGGCGTTCGACCAGCTCCCACGTCCCCATGCCAATGAGGCTGCGGATCTCCTCGGCCATGGCGGCCTTCACCGCCTTGCCCTTCCAGCTCGCCAATGCCTCCTTCACCGTCATCGTTGAGATGTCCCAACGATGCTCGAGGTCGGCGTGCATGTCGGGGTCGAGCTCCGACAGTTCTTCATCGTCCCCAGCGTTGTCATACAGCAGGTCGTCGTCGACCCCGTTGTACGCTGTGGTGAAGGCAGCGGGTACGTAGAAGTCGGGCGGCCTCCGAATTCGGCCTGACTCCCGTGGTCCCGTCTGGACCTCCACCACGTCACTATCGGTGGACTCCTCGGCATCCCCTCCGTTGTCACCGCCATCGCTGCCCTCAGTGTCCTGCTGCATCGTAGTCGGCATTCCAGCCGACTTCTCCAATGCGGTCGGCTCCCCTGCTGACTGCCCAATCGCCGACTGCCCCTTGGTCGGCTTCGCTGCTGCCCGCTCCCCTGTCTTCTCCAACTTTGGTTGCACCTCCACAGCCTGCTCCTCCCTTGTCGGTGACGACTTCATACCCACGCCGACCTCCACCACGTCACGTCTCCCACCGGCAATGCACTCGGTTGGCGTCATAGGCGACGTCACACTGCTCCCCTCATCTCCGAAGGCCGACACCGGAGTCAGCCCACGCAGGTCGGCCACAAGGGGAGGGGCAGGGGAGGAAGAGGGGACGTTCTCGACGTCCTCAGCAGCAGGCTCCCCGACCTCGGCGAGCAGAGGGAGCGTCGCCGGTGTCCGTCGGCGGGTTGGCCTGCGTCCGCCCCGACGCTAGCCCGTGCTCCGACTTCCACACTTCAAACAACATGGTCTCATAGAATACCACGTCTGGCGTGGTGAGCACCCGGTTGTCAGCGATGTCGAGGATTTCCCAGCCCTTGCTCTCCTCCGACACACCGAGATGAAGGCCCCACCTGGCCTTCGGCTTCAGCTTCCCACCTCGCTGCTGCGCGGGGACCAGGAACTGCGCCCAACAGCCCCACACGCGTGCAAGCGACAAGTCGGGCTTCTTCTCGGTGAGCACCTGGAACGGCGTCGTCCCCGGCGGTAGCGCCGACCTCTCCAGGCAGTTGCGGATCCAGATGGCCTGCCGAAAAGCGAGATGCCACCAGTGGTGCTGCACGCCCATGTGCAGCAGCATCGTCCGCACCAAATCCACCATCGTCCGCATCTCCCGCTCCGCCATGCCGTTCTGCTGTAGGGTGTAGGGGCAGGTCAGGTTGTGGACGATCCCCTTGCCATCCACGAAGGCGGTGAACTCCTTCCCAAGGACCTCCCCTCCTCGGTCAGAACGCAGCATCAGCACCGACTTCTTCGTCTGCCACTCAGCCATGGCCAGCCACTGTACGAACACCTGCAGCACGTGCGACTTCTTGGCGACCGGCCTCTCCCACACGTAGCGGGTCTTGTAGTCCTTCAGCAGCAAGAACTACAAGCTGCCGTCCTTGGCAGCCACGTGGAACGACAGGTCGATGTGTACAACAGCCAGCACGTCATCGGCGTCGGAGCCCTGGTCGGGGAAGGTGTGCCACGTTCCCGCCAACGCACGAAACACACGGTGAGTCGGCGCCAGACACCGACTTGAGGTACAGCCCAGTGGCGACCTCGTGCTTCGCCAAGCTCCAGATGGTGTCCATGCCGACGTGCGCAAGCCTCGAATTCAGCCGGTCCCGCGTCGACTTCGTCGCTGAGACTATCGCCCACAGGGCCACTACCTCCGTCGTGGGCGACGTCGACTTCGTCGAGCAAGGACGCAAGTCGGTGTAGAGGAGCCGGCCGGTGCAGGACGCTCGGCCGAGGACGTACCTTGTCGCCGTGATGAGCAACATCCCGTTGCCGTCCTTCTTCAGCTTCACAACGTTCTCCTTCAGCTGGCTAGGAGACAGCAGATTCACGTGCACGCCCGGCACGTAGAGCACATCGGGAATCAAAATCTGCTTCCCGGCCTCCCCTTGCAGAGCGACAGTGATGCGACCCGGACGTCCTGCAGCGCCCCATTGAAGTCGCGCACGTGCTTGACGCCGCCGCTCGGCTGCAGGTCGACGAAGACCTCCCTCGTCCCCATCAGGTGGTGGGAGCAGCTGCTGTCGAGCAGGACCACCGACAGGTTTGCCTGCACAGCTCCCGCCATCGCCTGCAAGTCCTCGCCAGCCTCTGGCGCCAACGAGACGGTCGGCTCCATGACGCCGACCAGCGAGCACGACGCCTCCTTGTCGTCGCACCCTTTGGCGCTAGCAGAGGAGTCGGCGTCTCTTGCCGAGATCGACGACTTGGGCGACTGCTTCTCCTTGCGCATCTGGTTTTCGCCGCGTTGAGGACGACGGCTGCCCCACCTCCCACCTCCTCCCTTGGCGTCATCGTCGTCGGAGTCACTGCGGTTGGGCCACTCGAAGGAGAGGTGGTCGGGGTCGCCGCACAGCCAACACTCCCAACGTCGACTTCCTCCTACATGACCGCCCTCCTTCGTCGACTTCTTCTTGTCGGCGTCCTTGGTCGGCCTACCGCCACTGCTTCCACTGCCGCTAGACTGCCCACGTTTCCCCGGTCAACCACTTTTCTTTGCCGGGGCGACGTAGTTCACCTGCGGCAGGAGGTCCGAGGGCCGCTCAGCTTCCCGCATCGCCTCATCCTGCAGGATGTACGAGGTAAGAGAGTCCTCGTTGAGTATCGCCCCAGTGCTCGGCGCCACCGATAGCCGCTTCAGCATGTTGTAACTGCCCGTGAGCCCTTTGATGACGTGCGTGACTATGACGCTGTCGAGTAGTGCACGCCGGCCATCCTCATTGTGGCGAGAAGTCGCCGAGCCCGGTTGCAGTAGTCCGTCGCCGTCTCCTGTTCGCCCATCCGCACGTGCGATAGCTGCTCCTCGAGGTGGCCAATGTACAGGTCGTCGGTGACCTGGTATGTCGACTCGACCCTCCCGGCGGCCGGCGTCAAGGTAGTCCCTGCACGGCTTTAAGGCGATCTGCACGCCCGGCGAGCAGCACCGCGAGATGACCGTGAAGGTCAGCAGCTGCACAACGCAAAACTCCACACGCAGGTCGGGGTAGTTATCCGACGGCGTTGCCACAGTGCCACGAGCGAAGCCGACCAGCCCGGCCATCTCCAGCTGGGGCTCGATGGCTTCCTTCCAGGTGAGAATGTTTGGTCGACCGACCAGCAGGGGGGTGACTAAGATCGTGTCCGGCGTAAACTTGAAGTAGCCGTAGCTCGGCGCGATTCCTCCCGCGGTCACAAGGGTCGCCGACATCGGCATCAAACCACTCCGTCGACCTCCGACGTCGCCTTGCGAGGAGCCTGCAGCCGCCGACGACCGCATCCCTCGCGCCTAAACGCCGCCGTCTGCATCGGCGTGTATCACATCTCGCTCCCTCGACGTGCCTCCCGCACAGCTGCCGACTTGGTCACTAGTGTTGGCACCCACGTCGACGCCGCCTTCGTCGTTCACCGGTCGAGGAAAAGCAGGTCAAGAAGGGTGATCCGTCGCCCACACGGTGCGGAGGCCATCCTCAACGACCGCCCTGGGGATTGCTCCGTACTCCTGGGCCTCATGGCGTCCCCTTGCATCCTCCAGCTGTGCTTCTAAGGTGTCTACCACCCCCGCGTCACCTACGGCGCCTACCATAGTGACTACCGCACAGATGCCGGCCTACGAACACGAATTAGGTAAGTGACAACTACGTCGACGTGACTGAAAGGTAAGTCGTGTGCCGTCCACGCTCTCCGCACCATGCGAAGATAAGTAATACAACGGGAGCTAGACTACGGGCTGGGCACGGAGCTTGTGTGATCTCTGCGTTCGTTCCTTAGTTGTTCTCTAGCACTTGTGCATTCACAGGGAAAAACCGCAAGAGTTTCACTAGCAAAAGTTGAGAACAATGATACAATGAAGTTGGCAAGACAAGATTACATCATAGCTCGCATGCAAGCACACTATGAGGAAACACCAAATCAGCATCAAACACACGGCTGCACTGGGACGAATAAAGCTGCGTGAAGGCAAAGCAAAGAAGCAAATGTCCATTGCTGAGTTCGGGGATAAGAACGCAGAAGCAAGGCACTTGATCAAGCTGATGTTGTTTGTCCGTTTCATATGTAAGAATGACACCCCCACCGCCTTGTTCATGCCCCTGGTGTAGTTTATGGCAGAGTAGGGTATACCTAACATGTCATCAAAGGACCAAAAGAGGTACTGCAGCACGTAAGTGTTTGGTTATATACGCATGTGCGAATTATGCGTTTCTAATGTATTGTATTTCTCTCGCAGGTACATATGTAAGCGACTGATCGAGACAATGGTCTTGTACTTGAAGGCAAGGCAGCTCTAGCACATCCACGCCAGCCCGTACATCGGCCTCCAATTGGACGAGAGCACTAACCAAAGGCATGGCTAGCACATGATTGTGTGATTGTGTATGTCACGTTTCTGCGTGGTACCTTAGTGGTGACCGAGTTCTTCGCCAACCTTTATGTGAATAAGTGCGACATCGCCTCGCTCGAAACTGTCCTGCTAACGCACTTGGCGGACTGCAACATTTACATGTTGACAGTTTGCGGCACTAGCACTGATGGTGCCAGTGTGATGATTGGCGGTCAGACCGGCCTGGTGGCACGCTTACGCACGCGGGTACCGCACCTCGTCCCCTACGACTGCGTCACCCACAGGTACCTCTCGTGGCTCAAGGTTTAGCTGTTGTTGCTCAATTGTCTGAAAAAAGCCGCCGAACTTACCACGTGTGTGTTGTTTTTACAGGGAGGCTCTTGCGGCGAAGGACGCAGCCCTTGCCTTCTCCGGCTTCAACATCGTCGACAAGGTGGTGCGAACCTTTGCCGACGTCTTGGGCTGCTCTCACATACAGCACGGGCACTTCATGAAGCTGCAAGAGGTAATAACAAGCATGGAATTCGGAACATCCGCTGCTTTCGCGTGGGGACGCGATTGAGCGGTTTGCAGACGTTGTACCCGCCAGCATTGTCGCTGTACGACAACGACACGAAGTGCTACACCCTTATCATGAGCTTTAAGTTTCAGCCCTTCTTGTACTTCTTGGTTGACATGCTAAAGGAGCTGAACTGCCTCAACCTCAAGTATCAAAGACTACAAGTATGCACTTATTAACCGATTCGTACTACTTGTCTGTTCTAGATGCTAGACTCTCTTCTTTCCTTTTCGTCTATCTCTATTCTAATGGTGTTTGTGCTTCCACTGTATCCCTGCAAGTCGATGTGACGCAGGTGATGCCGATGGTTGACCACACAACCCTGGCATTGAGAAGCCTCTATGTGGAGTACGGCTCCACCTTCGCTGACAACACTCCTTGCCTCGCCACCTTCCTGCACGCACACCAGAAGCCGCACGCTCGCTCGGTGACCGTCAAGGGTGTTGCCAGCGATGGCACACCAACGACGCACACATCCGAGCTCCATGAGAAGCTTATTGAGGGGCAGAACAGCGAAGGAGACTTACAGTCGTGCATCAAGATGGCATCCGAGTTTGGTGCACACAACGTCACATCCTTGTGCAAGGACCTCATGTCAAGGGTGGTGGGGACCTGAGGTGATCGCCTCAAGGACCTCACATCATGCTCGAGGAGTTGTCTCTTCCGCCAGAAACGATACCCACCTTCGTGTGCAAAGAGGGAGCGCAGTTTTCCCATATGGCTGCACTCGATGCGAGACCTGATAATGAAACAATCCCACCACCCTGATACCTTTCCCGGTATTTTGCTCAGGAATTGTCAAGCCGTAACCATTTCAATCAGTTGCTCTCTATCTGGATTAGCAAATACTTCTCAAGAGCATGGTCTCAAGGAGCGCAATCAAGCGCTCCTTCTCAAGATCCTTCGCCTTCGGGTTGTCGTTGATGCGGCGGTTTGCCTTGAGCGTTGCCGCGGCTGTCTTCTGGCTGCGCAGAGCTCGGTGGTGCTTCCTTGTGCGCTGGTGCTTCCGCATAGCCCGGATCTGCACATCGGTCGCCCCTTCCCCTTTCGCGCTGAAGTTTGTGCCCACACCACCGTGCTCAATGCAGACCGTGCATTTCATTGACGGGAAACCTGCTTTTGTCTGACACAAAACAAGCCACAGGTAGTTGTCAGACCACTGTTTCTTGTACATAAGTAACTCTTCCTGGTATTTCTCCTCGGCAATGTTGGGCACTTCTGTTTCATAAGTAACATCAACCGCTTTCGTTTTGAGTTTACGCTGTTGAGCCTTCATGGATGAGTTCCCCATACCAGACGTGGGCGTCGCTTGATTGGCACCCCACTGGATCTTCGTATGGTGGTACTTCACCTTGATACCGCTTTTGAGACGTGGGCCGACGCGATTAAATTTGGCAGCGACAGGAGGACGATTCCGTGTAAGTTCGGAAGCGAACGGCGGATCGATGGGTGTCGGTGCGGTAGCGGCGACATGCTCGAACACTAGCCCTGCGTCCATATCGTAGGTGCCTCGGGGCCCGAGGAAGGGAGAACAACTGTCGGAATTGTAGGTGATACTAACGAGGGAGCAGCCGAAGGTCGCCGTAAGAAATCAAGGCCAGTAACGACCAGCTTGCTAGCAGCGTTGGATTCAGGGCCATCACCTGCGTGCGATGGGTCCGCCATGGCCGCTCAGCTCTGCCGAGCATGCCGAGCTTGAGAGGGATGGTACGGCTGCGTGCCAAGAACGCTTGAGCTCGTACGTCACTTCCCGCCATGAAGAGGCATCTTGGTCCACCTCCACCATCTATCCTGACAAGATGACAAGACCCCCACCCCACTGCGAAGATAACTAGTACAACGGGAGCTAGACTACGGGCTAGGCACGAAGCTTGTGTGATCTCTGCATTCGTTCCTTAGTCGTTCTCTAGCACTTGTGCATTCACAGGGCAAAACCGCAAGAGTTTCACTAGCAAAAGTTGAGAACAATGATACAATGAAGTTGGCAAGACAGGACTACATCAGAGCTAGCATGCAAGCAGGTCGACTGCCAGCGCAGCGCGGTCGACTGCGTTCTAGCACGACTTGGTTGACCGCGCTCCCAGCAGCGCAGAGTCGCGTCTTGCCAACGTTGTAGGTCGACGTCAAGCCAACATCGCAAGTCGACGGCGTGCCAATGTCGCACCCGCAGGACAGCAGCGCACCCGCTTCGCAGGTGCTCGTAGATGATTGGTGTGTCGTGCCTCGTCACCTGCACAGCGCACACACCAAATCGTCCTTGTGCTGACGGCTGCTGTTGATCAGCCACGTGGACCTCACGATACCACCACCGAGGTCGGTCTCGCCAATTCCACCTAGGCGACCGTCGCACTCCTCC